AGTGTGGGTACCTGTCTCTGCAGGGTCTGGGCAGTGTGGGTACCTGTCTCTGCAGTGTCTGGGCAGTGTAGGTACCTGTCTCTGCAGGGTCTGGGCGCGATGGTGCTCTCTCTCCACCTCCAGAGTGTGGAAGGGCACAGCAGTGCGCAGGGGGATCAGCAGCTGGCAGACCTTCTCATGGATGCCCACCCAGTCTGCTCCCTGATGATCCGAGTCGCTGCCCAGGCAGAACACAAACACGCCATGCTAGACACCTCTCTGCCAGCGTGACACAGAAAGAAACTGTGGACATTTTATTAAGACAAGAACAAGCTGCCCCTGAAAGTCTTCAGGCAGTCATGGGTGGCAAATGGAGCATTTTCAATGAGGATTATGCGGCGCACCTACAGTAAGTGCAAATCCTCACTAACAGGAAGGAAGCTATCCAAAGGTCCTCCACCAGCCACAGTAACAAGGGAGGAGCCTGTGGACAGCCCATAATGACCTGGATTAAATTACACTCATCATGGTGACCCCTGCCAACCAGGTGTCATGGGAGGTTAGTTGGAGGCAACATGGAATGAGCTCAGACATCCGGGGCACACTATCCTCGGATTACAGCTGATCAGCTTCACCGTGGTAAAACTAAAGCATCCCATTTAGGAAGCGAGACAGGAGGGCAGATGTGTCTCAGATCTCTTTCGCTTGCAAAAGTAAAACCACTGTGCAACCTTCTCTTTTAACTGACGGTAAGGTAGAAGTCACTGAGGCTTCGAAAGTGACTCAGTGACAGTTAAGGGACAGTTAAGATCAAATTTTTATAGAAATGGAGAAGCTCTAAACACAGACAAAGCAGAATTAATAATGAAGGTTCTGGAGGAAGACAAGTCCCCTTTCTAAGCAGTTACAAGTGATCACATCACTGTAAATGCGATCGCTGCTCAGGGTCATCTGAGAGAGCAGCAGCCCCTGGGTTCATCTTCCTCAGGGGAGGGGAGAGATACCTGGTTTTTACAGACAGGTGTCACCCCTTCAGCCAAACAGGTTAAGGCCAAAGACATTCTAATCACATTTACTTAATTAAGGGTTTGTCTGGCCTGCTGAGCATAGATCTCTCTACACTGGGACGACATTAGCGTGGCATGAATATTCTACTGTGGTGTAACACACTCTTGTGTCCTGTGAAATCCAGTGCAGCTCCAGTGTTTCTCCTCACTGCTGCAGTAGATGGGGCTGAAGCAAATAACACATGAGAGCAATTTAAGCCTGTTGTCCTCTTTGAACTGCACAAACATCACAGAACGGCACTGTCAAAAATGACAGACACTCTTGTTTTTCGTCAGTTGGTGAAAGATTTTTATGGGAAAAGCTGTAGTATCGCTTGTACAAAGGCATCTGAAACAGCTGATACGTCTGCCTTCTTACAACTACATTCAAATGTTTTACACAGCCAGTGTATTTTAATACGAAACCTCACAAACTATTTATGGTTTAAAATTGACTCAGTATTGCTTTAAAGTGTACTCGCTGGGCTGAGATCAGTCCAGTCTGTTTGTGTAAAAAATGTTTTGGCAGTGCTTAAGTCCTCTAGGAACAGTGTTAAAATGTCAGCACACAAGAATTAATTTCAGTGTATGCAGAATCTTTACATATCTGGTCTCCACAATACGTTTCTGAGCTGTTTTCGGTTTGCAGTGATTTTACAGTTTATGTAATATCTCTAGTGACACAGTTACAGCAATGTCCTGAACTTTCTCACATCCAGAAGAATATTCAGCTGGGATGTAATATTTAGACAGCTATAAAGAGTGACAATATACTTTCTCATCTGGAGAGAACAGTTAAGACAGCCACAGAAGCTTTTTCAGTTTTTTTCACCATTAATACGGTAATTAGCAATGTCTGCACGAATACCCAGGGAATTTCCCAGCATTTGCAGTCTTTAGGAGCCAGCAGACTGGTCCCCAGCCTCAGACAATTCCCAAAGAGCAGCTTCAGCCTCGTCTTGGGTGAGAAAAACACCATCTATCATTCCACTCTGGAGTCAGCGGCCAGGCTGTTGAAGACAGGGACTGTGGACAGACTGTGACCTGCATTTTTAAACAAACTGTGGAACAGAAAAACAATTTAACATTCTCCAACTTGCAAGGCCCTGATTGGACTAGCACTAATTTAATTAGTGAATGCCATTTAATTAAAAGAATGTCTGCCTCCGTATGACCTAAACTCTAGTTTGGGGATTTCAGAATACAGGGATATCTGTCATTCCCAATGTCATGCAGAGGACTGGGAGATCGGGACCCTAGCCCCTGATCTCTGGAACGATCTGCACTGGCAGGGGCTTCTGTGAGTGCAGGTAGTTCTTAAACAGCTGAACAGGTGTTCGATAGTATTGCACTTTCTAATAAGACAGCGCCGTCTCCTGCTTTCTTTACGGCACAGGAAGGGCTCTTTCTTATGTGCAGCTTCGTAGATATGTGCTGACACACCTTTTATGTTTCTAATGGTAGCAATCTGCTGCTTTCAGCTGCTGCATTTCCCTGCCCCCCCAGTTTAGATCTGATGTCTTAATTTTGTAATCCCCCCACCGTGCTGTCTGTCAGTCTCTATCTCCGTCCTGTGAAAGTACCAGCCTCACGGACAGAGGAGAGCACCCCGCCACCTGGGCAACTCTGTGCTCTGCCAGCACCTTGTACGGAAGGAGACGGGCACAGTGTGGTCCTGGCACAGCTTGGCACGGTCTTGGCACGGCACATCTTTTTGAGATTCACCTAAACAAAATCAGGTGCTTTCACAACAGGGCCAGCACACTCTTACTGTGTTGTGATTTAAAGTGGAATGCACCTCTTCTGCATTTATGCCTATCTGCTGTATTGAATTTTACAGGCAAGGATGTTGGAGCACGGTGGTACAAATGTACAGTATTCGCGACAGAATGGCTACTTGACTTTTTAAATATAGCTAATCATCCGAGACCATGCCGCAACAGAGCAGATCCTATCTTAAAATGAAGTAATTGCAAAAGCTGCCGTCGCTGCTAATGAGCAGGGGCTCCGGCATCACTGGTGCAGTGGAGGTGCAGTGTGGTTTTGCTCAGCTTCACTGCGGCGCTGTGCGGAGAGACCGCGTCGGGCTCCACTTGTGAAGACCGCATTATTCTAGCTGTCAGAAACACAGCACACTCCCCCCGAGCCGGGACACTCTCGGCCCTCTCAGATACAGCCTGCTGCTTCACCAACACCCTCAGCCAACATGGACGCCTTTCAGCTGGCAGGGGGTTTAGCGCTGCTTTTGGCACGAGGAGGCGTTTATGCTGTATCTTGGCAGGAAGACAAGTATCTATTAAAGCCAGCAGGAGAACGGGGAGCGGGGGGGGCGGGGGGGTGCTTTTGTTTTCTCAGCCTTCTGCAGACCTGAAGGATGTGCACAACTTTCCATTGCATCCTAAAGCACACAGTATCCACGAGCAGCAGGGATGAATGTCAGCCAGTAGACGGGTATCACACACAAGCACTGAAAGAGCAAGTGAAGACCTAGTGATAATAGCAACTGGCTATGAGGGACATGCTGTATCAACAACAGAACTTACAGAGCTTCTGATAACGGGCCAGCAGCTACAATACCCTGCAACTCCCAGCTGGCAGCCCATGGAAGCTCAGCAGGTGTGAGCCTGGCCAGGACCTGGATGGGAGACCTCCTGGGAAAACCTAAGGCTGCTGCTGCAAGAGGTGTTAGTGGGGCCGGCAGGGGGTGCTGTGTGGGTCTTAATGCCCCAGCAGAGAGAGGGGGACACTATCCTGTAAAAAGGCTCCACTTTTCAGATGAGACGAAGAACCGAGGTCCTGACTCTCCGTGGTCATTAAAAATCCCAGGGAGTTTCTTGAGAAGAGAAGGGGTGTTACTACTGCGTACTGGCCCAATTTTCCATTGGCCTTTACTATTACCTGTAAAGTTCTTTTAGGGGAGTGTCCAAAAAAGCACTATATAAGTGTAAGGAATTATTATAATATATATTATATTATTATATATTAATACAATAGATAACATGTAATAATAATAAGCCCACTGTTCAGTCCAAATGACAAAGCACATTAACTCATGCAGAGGGACACAGCACTAGGATTTGAGCTGGGAGCTTCTTCCACTGAAATGTTTCTATGCCTTAAAGGGGGCAATGTAGCAGCTCACTGAATAAAGGTCTTGGCATGTCAGACACCACAGTCTATAGGTTCACCCTCTGTTAAATCTCCTTGCAGATTTCTCCTTATATCCAAGCCGCCCAGCCCTGCTGGTGATTCTGATCCCCTGGGATCCCTTTAGAAACGGAGAGCAGGGTTCCTTTGATCAGTTACTGTAGCTCAGCACGAATGGCCTGCTCTCTTGCAACCTCTCCTCTCTTCCTTGAGATTCATGTCAGCCGAATGGTGCTGCACAATCCGGCGAAACACACTGAAGTCAGCCCCCTTAGCTGAAGGGAAAGAATTCCATGCTTAACTCTTGCGTTTCTCATGGCTTAAAGGCATTTTACAGAACCGGCCAAGCCTGGAGACAGCACAGACCACAGCCCTACTGTCCACGTCGACAGAAATTGGGCAGTTAGGAAAATGCCCAGCGAACCTGTTGTGGTAAAACAGAATAGCTAATTCCCCTCATTTCTTTTCTGAAATTACACTTTCGGGGCCTTCAGAAAAAGAAGCTCTTTAATAATATAATTCTTTATTTCTGACTTGAAAATGATCTTAATTCTGACTTTGAACGAAAAAAAAACAAAAGATTATGGCTCCTTCGGTCCTTTCCCGCTGTTCGAAATGTTATGGTGGTGGAAAAAAAAAAAAAGAAGAGACTTTGATAAACTGCTTTCCAGGACGTCGAACCCATTGAACCCCTGAAGTGTTTGCGAGAGAGACGCGTTTGCCTTGGGCGGTGTTATAATGTAGGGAAACACTGCCGCCTAGTGGTCGCCGGAGTCATGGCACGAACAGCCCACTGGAGCGAAGAGCGGAGATACCCGCTGCACCGCCAGCAGATTTGAGAAATCCGATGATTTTATTTGAGGCTACGCACCGGTTTTGCAAGCCTACGTAAAAACTGAGTCTTAGATGCGTTCTAAGCTATTATTATTATTAAAGAGGATGAATGAAAACAGGCTAGGAGAGACTTGAAACGAGTTAGTCCCTGTTCGGTTAAAGTAGAAGGGGGTCTCCTCGCCCTCCCGGGCCCGGAACGGCGGTGCCGACTCACCAGTAGTAGGTGACCCGGCAGTGGGAGCACTGGAGGCGCGCTGGTCTCTGGCACAGCTCGCAGAGTCGCTTCACCCCTCGGGGGTTGGCCAGGGGGGTGATCTCGGACATGCCGCTGCGCTGCGCTGCCCACCTCCTCCTCCTGCACCCCTGGACCTCCTAAACGGGCTTCTTCAGGCTGAAGACACGTCCCGCATCGAATAGCAGCAGGAGGGACCCTGTTTTCCGCGGCTTCCCGAAACACAGAAGCGGGTCTGGAAAGTTGTCCCCAGACCTCACGCAGGAATGAGCTGCCCTCGTCCCTTCTGCTCGTCTTCAGGACGCTTGAGAGCAGTTACCGAGGAGACGACCTTTGAACTCCAGAAACTTTTCAGGTGGTGTGTGAAATGTCCGACAGCAAAGCAAAGCTCAATTTCCGCATCACAGCAGACGTTTAGCCTAAAATATATTTCCTGAAGTGCTAACCATAATTTCAGCCTTGTACTTGTTTTGAAATTTGCCCGAAATGTTGTTCAAGTAATTATAGCATGGCAGCGGTTTCTGAGGAAAAAATTAAAAACCTGTGACAAAATACTTTCTAAAATAAAAAACGGTGAACGTCAAAGGGTGTTTTGTCTAAACATCAAACTTTGAGAGTCTCAAAGGCTGGAGAAAGGATGATCAAAGAGATAAAGTAGGCCAAGAATAAGAGAAAAATACAAATAAAGTGATATCAGATTATTACTGACAATTGAAGCGATATAGACAAAGAGAATGAAAAATTAAAAAATCTTTGTTTTAAAAAAAATTTATTGTTTTATAATTACAAACGGAACTAATTATTCGCGGCTGGATGTTGTCCGGGGCGGTTATAGGTGCTCCCGGAAGTTGTTGTAAATGTCAAACGGGTTGCCATAGCTCCGTGGTTTCCGGTCCGTTTTGGTCGGCTGTGGCTGTAAGTTGTGTCTTGAAAATAATAATAATAAAAAAGAACAATAATACGATGATATATGTATTCGTCATTACTCTAAACGTTTTAGTACAACGGTTTCCTTGCTAACATGCTAACAGCAAGTTTGTTGAACTGAAATAAGTCATAGCTACATGTCTACTCACTGGCGAAAACTTAATGTCTCTGGAATGGGGCGACTATTTTTCATGGCTAAAAAGACTGTTTTAACTGATAAATCGCTTGTGCAATCTTCGACTGCCGAGCAATGGGACGGTTTCGTCCTTGGTTGCCGCAGACCAGCAGTTCTCGTTTCCACTCTGTTCAGCCGGGCGAATTCAGGACAGACGGCTGTTTTAACAAACTGTGTCTTGTGGAGCTCCAGTAAGATCAAGGTTAGAACTACTGGTGCTACATCGCGTTACTACGACTTGAGGTGATGTTTTCCCAGTTTATTAGGAGGAAGGGACTGACTCTTGTCAGTACTGCGCGCAGATAGACTCAATAAACCACGAACAATTGCTTCATTACATTTGCTTTTTGATATTCCTTCGCAAATCTTTAATTGGGCGATTTTTACATTATTTGCTCAATCTCATGCTTGGACCCGTGTGAAGCTGCAGGAAGACGTCTTCACACTGAACGACGCAAAACATGTTAACTGTCACCGGGTGGATATTTAAGACTACTGCTAAGTGCAGTGGTCAGGTTTCTTTTCAAAGAGCTTAAGAGGAACTTTGTGCAAAAACGTTCTGTAAAATATAAATATGCTTTTCGTTTTCATGTTTTTGTTAAGGATAGTTTCACTTGCACTCCATATTGGATAAATCTATTTCTAGAGCACGAGTGCTTGGATCCAGGGGTGTGATTTGTGTGAATGTGGTAGCTAGTCTTTTCTTAAGAGTGTCCTGCTGCAGGCTGACCCAGGCTCTGATCTGTAATGGCCTGCCCCCAGTGTGCAGACCTGTTGCCTGCAGGACTGGACCGGCTCACTGCCCTTTTCTGATCTTACAACCCCTGCAACAGGTCAGAGGTCAATGGCGAGCCCCGGGAGCCCCTCTTCTCCCACGCCGGAGGGCCGGCTGGCCGTGGAGTTCGCCGTGCCGGCGCAGGTGGAGGCGGCGGGCCGGCAGATGGCGGCGTTCGCCCAGCGCCACGGCTCCGCCGGCCGGAGGGTGGTGCTGGTCACCTCCGGGGGCACCAAGGTCCCGCTGGAGTCCCGCACCGTGCGCTTTCTGGACAACTTCAGCAGTGGCCGACGGGGGGCTTCGTCCGCGGAATACTTCCTGGACTCGGGATACGCGGTGGTGTTCCTGCATCGGCACCGCTCCCTGTACCCCTACTCCCGGCGCTACGCGGGGGTGAACCTGCTGGACGCCCTGCGGGTGGAGGGCGAGGGCGAGGGCGGCGGCGGCGGCTCCGGGCGGGTGGTGGCGGACCATCGGGTCCTGCCAGACGTCGCCGGCGTGCTGCAGCGCTACCAGGCGGTGAAGGAGGCGGGGCTGCTGCTGCCGGTGGAGTTCAGCACCCTCTCCGAGTACCTGCACCTCCTGAAGGCCGCCGCACAGGCTCTCAGCACCATAGGTATGACGAGCGGCGCTCCTGGTGGTACCGGTGACCTTTCCTGCCGGGTGCGAGAGCTCAGGGCTCCTAGCTTGCCTCCATCAGCGAACAGAGATCTCAGGATTAATCCTGCAGTTGGGGATTTTGCATTTCAGGAAATGCACTTCAGGACTTCAGGAAACAGAGTAAATATTTCTTGTCTCTATTGCTAAAAAAAGACATCACTCTGATAAGGAACATTCCCTGCTGAAAAGAGAAGAAAAGAAACACAACGTTTCGGCTGTGGAGCCTTCTTCAGGCTGAGCTTGAGGTTCTGTTTCTTTTCTTTTCCTTTCAGCATGGAACCTTTACTTGTTCCTTTGCATGCTGACGTAGCCCCCCTACTTGAACTGCTTCATTCCTGGTAGTCAGGGGTGTCTTGAACAGTCTCTTGTATTTGAATTCCAGGATCAAAGGCCATGTTTTACCTGGCGGCCGCTGTGTCCGATTTCTATATCCCGGCCTCCGAAATGCCTGAGCACAAGATCCAGTCCTCCGACGGGCCACTGCAGGTGAGGGAAGCAGCTGGACTTTAACAGCAGTGTCTAGAGCTCATTCTAATGGTGGTGGTAAAGCTACATGGAAATGTGTAAACCTTTTATAAGACAGCCTTCAGCAGATAGTCAGATGATGTCAGTTTAAACTTGATTTTAACCAAACCTTCCCAGATTAAACCTTTTTTAATAACAAGAAGGTGAGCTGCTTTTGACTTCACATCACAGCTGCTGTGTCTTGTTTTAATTAAAACCCCAACTAAAGGTTACAGATGTCACCTATTAGGAATCCCACAGACAATTTAAATCTCATTTCAGTCCTACAGTTTGTTGATATATTTGCATATGGTTGTGTATTTGTATGGTTGTTTTCACCCAACGTTGAATGAGCAGTCTTGACAGAGTTCTTTGCATGTGATGTACTGTATACAGTACAATGCACAAGAATAACAGCTGGTCACATTGTTATGGTTAATAATAAGCATCCAACACCTACAGGGCAGTGAATACATTTTTGTTACACTGGGATCTAGTAAAGAGGCAATGAGTGCATCTCAAAAAGAGAGCTATGTCTTTGTGAAATAAAGACAAAAATGTGGAAGCCCAGTCTAAGAACATATAGCCAGCAGCCATATCACTCTGCAGCTCACAGCAGGCAGTCCACTGGAGCTCAGGAGCTCAGCTCAGCAGCTTCAATACCCTGCAACTCACAGCTGGCAGCCCACTGCAGCTCAGCAGGTGTGAGCCTGGTCAGTACCTGGATGGGAGACTCCTGGGGAAAACTAAGGTTGCTGCTGGAAGAGGTGTTAGTGGGGCCAGCAGGGGGTGCTCACCTTGCGGTCTGTGTGGGTCCCAGTATAGTGATGGGGAATCTATACTGTAAACAGGCGCCGTCCTTCGGATGAGACGTAAAACTGAGGTCCTGACTCTCTGTGGTTATTAAAAATCCCAGGGCGTTTCTCAAAAAGAGTAGGGGTGTAACCCCGGCGTCCTGGCCAAAATTCCCATTGGCCCTTACCAATCATGGCCTCCTAATAATCCCCATCCTAATAATGGCTTCATTACTCTGCTCTCCTCCCCACTGAGAGCTGGTGTGTGTTGAGGGTTCTGGCGCACTATGGCTGCCGTTGCATCATCCAGGTGGGGCTGCACACTGGTGGTGGTGGAGGGGATCCCCATTACCTGTATAGCACTTTGAGTGGAGTGTCCAGAAAAGCGCTATATGAGTGTAAGCAATTATTATTATTATGTCCTGTCCTGCAGATCAGCATGAAGATGGTGCCCAAGATGCTGTCCCCGCTTGTGAAGGACTGGGCCCCCAGTGCCTTTGTCATCTCCTTCAAGCTGGAGACCGACCCCTCCATCCTGCTGGTGCGGGCCCGCCGCGCGCTGGAGACCTACCGCCACCAGGCCGTGGTGGCCAACGTGCTGGACACGCGGCGCGGCTACGTGGTGGTGGTCACGCCGGATTCGCAGACCGAGCTGGTCCTGTCCGAGGAGGAGGCGCGGATGGAGGTGGAGATCGAGGAGAGGATCGTCTCCAACCTGACCTCCGCCCACTCCAGCTTCATCGCGCAGCAGGGCTGAGACGAGGGGGGGGTGCACTGGACTGGTCTCTGGTGCCACACTTGTACATCCCAGACTGTTCCCCTGCAGGGCTAGAGCAATTCATTGATTTCCATTGCTAATCTAATCTCCTTAGGTTTCAGATTAAAACAGGAGTTAAAGCTGTGGGCCAGCGTCTTGCAATGGAGTGGAGAAAGCAAATCTCTCCTCTGGTGTCAGACATTTCTAGGAGCAATAGATTTGTAAGTGAAGCCGATTCCAGCTCTTGATTGCAAAATGGAACAGGGCCAACAGCTACGTTTCTGAACTGAATGATCCTCTGTGAGTGCGGGTTAAGAAAATGTTTTGTTGTTCAGTTGGGTTGAACAGTTTTGTCTGTGCTCCTTTCATTTTGAAGAGAAAGCCAATATGTAAAAATGTGGATTTCAAAAACGTGTGCAGGCAGGCAGTATTGGATTGTGGAATTTCAGTTTCAAAAACTGTACAGCAGGAAAAACATACTTTTCCAGGAGGCTTTTTTAGGTCTTATAACTTGACTAAAGCCTTTGGCTGGACTAGTTTTGAAGCCTGATCTAAAGCTATATCCATTCCTAAGGTTATCGAGAGGATCTAATAATATTTTGTGCACAGAGGCTCAGTCTAGTTCCACCAAACAGTTGGCCTCTTTGAAATTATAATAATGCTAAGAAGAATGAAGAAACATTTGACTATTTGCACAAACAGTTGCCTACTAATCCATAAGCAATATGCTGTTGTATGCATTCGTAACATTAGAAAATGAGGTGGCCTCAATTTCAGCTGTTCAGCTGTGTGTACAGTGAAAAATCTTGCATATCATATCCCCATGATATGAAACCAGGAGACCCAACCTGAGCACACATTGCTTCTAAAGTAACTGTTTAATTCTCTTTTCCCTTTGTCCATTCTAATACTCTAAAGTAAAAAAAGAAAATTAAAAACAGCTCCGTATGCTTTCAAACCTAGATTCCATCATGCCCAGTAAACAGTGAAAGAGTAGGTTTTATTTAAACTAAATTAAATCCAATTAAAAAAATATCAGTTCTAATTAGTACTATATCACATGATGAAAATTGTAGTTTCTACATGAAAAGGTGGACTTCATGCATTTGATAAAATCCTGACAAAACATTTTTTGTTGTGAACATGGTCATTTTGTAAGTTAACTGTGTTGGAATAAGATGTTAAATACTCCTGTCACACTGGAAACATTAGGGAAACAAGTTAGGCTGAAAACGTCAGCCATTTAATGCAATGTAAACGGTATTTCTGTAAAGAAGAGTTTTTAACTGTGATCTGTAAGATTGCCTGATGACAGCTATGGTGACGTATTACTGTTGACAGTATTACTATGATGGGGACGTCCTGGCCGATGCACATTTTGGAAGAGTGTTTACAGGAAGGGTCATAAGGGTGTTTGTGATCCAGGAGATGAGATTCATTAGTGACTGTGGAACAGTAAGGAGATAAAGTAATGCAGACAGGAGGAACTGTAAGAATTAAGAAGATGCTATATAATACCTTTACTAATAAATGACTGGGGCTCAGACCAAAGCAATGTGGCTTTGGATTAAGAGGTATTGTTCAGTGGGCCATTAACTGGGAAGCCTTACTGTTAAAATGTGATCATAAGAGTAGTTAAACTGTCAAAAATAGTACAATGTTAATTAAAAACAAGTTGGCTATACATTTGGATGTATGAAGAATACATTAATAAAAATCAAATTAGTGGATTGTACTATTCATTAGTTAAGAGAACCATACTAAAATTTTTAAGATTGTTAGATGACCCATGGCATGTGACTAGTAAAAGTGAGAAATATAATTAAACAATTTCAAAACTTGAAATGTTTTTATTTGACAGCAGTAGGGTTCTAACCCGGAAAGGCCTTCTGCTCCACTGAGTTTACAGAGTGTATTCTCATACTTCCATTTTATTAAACAAAAGCAAAAACTGCATATAAAAATATCTCAAACTAAGCTGTACACTTAAAAACAGTTCATACTTCTTCAAATTACCTTACGAAAAACCTTAACAGCCGTAGTCACACTATGAGTGCAAGATAACAAGGAATCTTATGGTGAATGAGATTTCTGTCCTTTGCTGGAAGGCTGTGGGTTCGTCCCTCCATTCTGAACACGGTGACTGCCCTGCGTCCTCTCTGTCTCCGCTCTGCACAAGAACACAGCCACTTCGTCCTCTACTTGAGCTTGACACTCTTCTTGACTCCAGCACGGATGCCAGACAGCTCTCCCCCGTATCTCTGCTCCTCTCTGCGAACTTCCCGAACCTGGAACAAACAACATGCTCAAGTTCCCTTTTTGTAATCTGCACTTGCACGACTTCAACAATGATTACGTTGAGAAATGACCATTTTCAGCTGGTCGGTGTATATGTGGGTCCTGAGGGGATGTATTAGTAAATGCTAGTTTTCATAATGAACAGGTTCGTTCCATGCTGAAAGGTAAAGAAACGTAGTGGTTTTTTTCCTTTTTCTTCTTCACCCTTCAGGAAGAAATGAAACTGTTCCTCTGCAGCCTACGCATGCTGATGCAGCGGCCTACTCGACAGTTTTCATAATGCATCTCTGCGTTACCTTGGCCTGATGAAAGAGCCCTCAGTTCCTGTTCTTTATCCTCTTACAGCTATTGAGCAATGCCTTGTTTAGCCCTTGTGTTCACTGGAATGTACTTTTTTTTTCTCTTCTGCTTGCCTGTTTTTTTAGATGTTTTTTGTGCAACAAGCATGCACTATCGGCCAGTAACCTCGACTTTGAGATTCTTCAACTCCCTACAATGCTGAAAGATGTGATGAGATACACCCCATAAAGAAATTGATAATAATAATAGCGTTACAAACTAAACAACTGTATGCTTAATGTTTACAAAGAGGACTTGTAAAAGTCATTATAAATTAAAAAACGACTGAAGGACAGAACCTACTGCCAGAGTATGGGCCTTAACCTCCTCCAGATCTGTGCTCATTTAGACAAATCTTGGACCCTGGGACTTACCTGGCCTCTCCTGCGGATCTTGGCCCGTCTGAACTTCTCTCGGTGCTTGACTCTCGGATTCCGATCAATCTTCTTCCTCTTCGGTGTGAGGCCTTTATTCTTAGCCATCTGCAGAGCACAAAACATATGGGCTGTCAGACGTGGACACAGAGGGGGGGGGGGACGGCCAGAGACCGGAGCCAGTGCCCCAAATTCTAGATCTGAAGAACCCAAAAAGTTCAGTCACGTGTTAGGTCACGGTAAAGTGAAACAGTGTTGAAATGCCAAACAAGCTTAAGGTTCAGGGAAAAGCAGAACTGCAGATTAACGCGTCTCAGATGGTTTTTCAACCAGGAATTTCACTGGTGCAAAGACACTCAGATCAGGGGTTTTGGTCAATCTGCCCATTACTCTCTGCATGTTGAAGTGTGCTCACAGAGACTCTGAATCTCTCCACTCCCAGCTCACCTGATAAGTGATGGCTCTCTTCGCCTCTGCGTCCAGCTCCTCTTCCTCCTCTGGCACAGGTCTGAAAAAAGAAACAGATAAGAAGATGGTATTATTCTCCGATATGATTAGTTGTTCCTCCTTCTGACCTTCACTTACAGGCTGGATTTTATTTGTTTCCAGCAGCACTTGCCGACAACCGACTGTAGCTCTTGTGTGTGATTTTAACTGCAGCAGTCAATTAACTTGACATATACAATAGGTTTTCTACTTGCAAAAATGACCACTTCTTATCAAGCATGCATATTTTTTTGAGTATGACATTATCTGAACTACACCTTTTCTATGATTTTCAATCTTTGTTATTTTTTCAAATGAAACACTGGTGCTACTAAACTCCCAAGCCTTCCCCCTAAGGGAGCAGGACTCTGCACAAGTAAAGAGCCCCACAGAGAAGCCTTGAAAAGTCACAGAGTCTGCAAGGGTGCCAATTAGTGAGGAACGCTGCTGCCAATCCACCACACTCCCGTCTGCAATGTGGAAGTTTTTTTAAAAGTGGTTTCTTATTCCCTCCTTGTCCCCTGACCCCGCTCACCCCTCCTCGGAGTCCTCTGTCTGCTTCTTCCTCTTCAGTTTCAGCCTCTCCTCCATCTGCCTATAGAACCGCAGGGCCTCCTGTTCGTCCATGTCAGAGCCAGAGTCTCCAGCCGGCTGCAGTTGGGCGCGCCGGGGCCCCTGATACACACACACAGAGGGGTGGACAGGAGCAAGCGTGCACACACATGCACAGAGGGGTGGACAGGAGCAAGCGTGCACACACA